TCAAACAACATACTCTCGTATCCGAAAAATAATAATTGATGGCCGATATGCGCATCGATTGGCGACATATGCGTCCCACATCTATCGGACACTTTATTCAATACGATTATCCCTCCCCCATTGCGTTTAATATCGCCTCGCTATTCTTTTTTTCGTGATTTTTAGTATCCTAATAATAACGCTACATCATGCTTTCACTCTCATTCAGGCGCACTCCTCTCCCACCTCAGACCCAAGATCCATCGCTATTCACCAAACATCACCAGATACAACACCAACAAGAACAGCAGGCACCTTCACCTTACGATATATCCAATGTCGCCTCATCCATGGATTCGTTCTTTGGCTTGGGCAGCGTAATTGGCGGCGGCCCCGGAATACCCAACATCTTCAACTCGGCTGGATCGGCTGTGCCTACGGCATCTGTAATGCCAACGACGCCGACGCCCGGTCTAACGCCATCACTAACGCCATCTCTAGCGCCTCCATTATTGGGTCCCTCGCCTCCGCCTGGTGAGTATCCCTAAAAATGTAGGAGATCGTATTTCGGGGGAGGAAGCGGTTTGGGGAAAGAAATGATGAATAAGGGGAGGGGATAATAATATTACCGGGGATAAATTACATTTGTGCGCGTCTTTTTCATTTTCGACAGGCGTGTCGATATTAGCTCGACTATATATATAGCATATATGAAAAATCTTGGATTGCCAAACTCTTAATCGATTTTCTCAAATACACATAGGAACGACCGGAGTTGCGCCAAACTTTCCCGGATTATACTCAAGTACGGGATTTGATATGCTTGGTGTACTGGTAAGTACAGTCTTGACGATCTCAACGTTTATACTCGATAACGCAAGCTTAATCAATCATTTCATCATATCCCCAATAGGCTCGTGTTGCAAACAGACCGAACCCACAAATTAATATTGGTCCAGTCGATATGAGCTGTTCGTTCCTAGTCGGTGAGAAACACCTTTACCATCCGATCTATCATGTTGCCACCAAAAAAAAGGGGCACTCGAGATTTTTGTCGTCGTCGTTAGATCTAACTGCTTCCCCCCCCCCCCTTTTTTTTTTCATACTTACAGTTGATGCTCGAAAGTATGACTTTCCAATTATATATGCTAGTAATACTTTCGAAAAGTTAACCGGATATTCAAATTCAGAAATCATTGGTCGTAATTGTCGATTCCTGCAAGCTCCAGATGGACGCGTTGCCTTGGGTTCAAGACGTCGGTATACGGATAATAACGCCGTGTACCATCTGAAGAGCCATATGGTATCCGGTAAGGAGTGTCAGGCATCGATAATTAATTACCGCAAAGGTGGTCAGGTTTGTGTTGATAAAGTTATGCGAGGCGTGGTTTGTTGGTGTAGGCTTTTCTGATTATTCAATCGTTTGCTTGTTCTTTATAGGCTTTTATTAACTTGGTCACCGTTATCCCGATTACTTGGGATAGCGACGATATCGCATTCTTTGTTGGGTTCCAAGTGGTATGTATTTCACCACAGACTTTGATGTCGGGCCTAGCATTGATTGTGCAATACCTATAGTTGACGTTTAGTCATCGATATTCTTTCTCGAGCTATAAACTATCAATTCCTTGATCACTTTGCATGTCAAGAATGATGGCATCTTTTCTTCTTCTTCTTTTCTTTCACATCTGCTAATCACGCGTTTTAATTTTAACGATAAAGGACCTCGTGGAACAGCCGAACGCAATTCTCGAAAAAATGAAAGACGGCACGTATGTAGTCAATTATCAACTAATGAACTTGACTGCATACGTACCGCCAGCATCGTTCATGAACCCAGCCGAAGCCGTAGACGAGTACTTCCGAGACGTAACAAATACAACAATGCCGTTTCCCGCCAGTGTTGAAGTTTTTGAGTTCATTGGTGACAACACAGACACCGAAGTCTGCAGGCGGATATGGAACAAGACTCTCCTAGAACATTCTGATGACTTTATTCACGTTTTATCACTTAAAGGTATTTTCCTTTACTGTTCACCGAGCAGCAGGCAAATGTTGGAATACGAACCGGAGGAATTGGTTGGCAAATCGCTCTCAACAATATGTCACCCAAGCGACATTGTACCGGTCATGCGAGAACTCAAAGAATCATCTAATGGGGTTGAAGCGGTAAACCTTGTCTACCGTGTTCGCCGTAAAAACACTGGATACATATGGTTAGAAGCACTTGGAAAGCTACACATTGAACAAGGCAAAGGACGTAAATGCGTTATTCTATCAGCTCGCGAACGTCAAGTTTATAAACTTCAATGGAAAGATTTACAGGCATCCGGTGGGATATCAGATCACGAATTCTGGTCTAAACTTTCTCCTGAAGGGATGTACCTCTACGCTTCCTCAACTTGTCAAGGCATCCTTGGCTGCTCTATGGAGGAATTGGTAGGCACATCTTTATATCAGCTGGTCAAATCAGATCGAACAACGGATATTACTCGATCGCTTAGTCAGGCGAAAAGTGGCTCGGTTGTTAGCCTGAGACATCATATTCAGAAAAAGAACGGACAATTTGTTGAGATCATGTCGACATTCTACCCTGGTGATTTAAGTGGCAGCGGAAAAGCATCGTTTATTATATGTCAGAGTAAATTGATTGCAACGGAACAGAGACGTCGGTCATCCACTGGATCGCCGCCGTCGGATAGTGGGTCGTCTTCTGGAGGGTCTACGCCGAGGCAATCTGCACATTTGAAAGGCATCTCGATTGAACATATGCCTGAAGATAATATATTTGAAGAGTTGGAGGTTGCTAGAGGCACTAGTTGGCAATACGAGTTGCATCAGATGAGGTTGACTAATAAGCGGTTAAGGGAAGAACTCGAGTCCATCAAGCAGGCTAGGAGGAGAAGGGTACGAATATGTGATTTTTGTATTTACTTTGTACATGTGTTTTTGAAAATTGGGGAATAGGCGTTAACAATTTCTTTTGCTACCAATTCGATATTATAGTTTAGGAAGCGAAATCAGTCGTCCAGTAAGGTAGGTTTATGAAAGTTTCGATAACAAGTTATACATCAGTTTGCAATTATAAGAATGAACGATTTTGCGCAATAGTATCGATTAAATTATATTAGCTGTTTCCGACATTCTGTGGGTACTCACTAACTGACTCCTATTGTTTTTTAGACTACACAAAACAGATGAAGTCTTGCAGTATATAAATGTTCTCCTTTATACGCATCTGTTTCCAACAGCTGCAGCCAAAAATTTATCAATTTGCATATATTCTATTATATATATATATATATATATATATCTCTTTTTCATCAGTTGGGACGATATTTACACGTCATGGTGGGGACTTGTTGATTATGGATTCTTCGCTACTTTTCTTTATTAATCTTCCATTTCTATATATTTATTGATTATTATATATACATACAATATTTTTATTGAAGACGAGAAAAATGGTCGTTCTTGTCAAAGAAATAGCATAACGTAATGCAATGCGTTGTGCATGTATAGTTTTCCTTATTTTTGCTGTAAATTTTTCCTACCACCTTTCCTGCCGAGTAATTGGTGATTATTTCCCACTCAAAGGGAAGTTTTGATAGACGTTATATTCAAGGAAGAAATACGTTTCTGTTATTTGTGATTAGAATACTTTGTTGTTTAGAATATTGCGTTCGATTCAAGATTGAACAATAAAGTAAAGTAGTTGTTGTACATGTCATTTGCGGAGAGAATGATTCTATATTTGATGACAAGTCCATCTAACAATCATTTGCAGAAACTTGTTTCCAAAATCTACGTACGTAACTATTATCGCGTTATCTTTAAATGTGGTCGCGATGGTTATGGGTAATGCACGTCTCTATGAGAAGATTACGCGTCTTCCTACATAATTCATTGTTTTAATATTTTGGGTTTGAGGAGCGAGGCATTGTAATCGATAGGTTTATTTGTATTTGCAACATTTGATATAATGCCATGGAATATAGAACTATGTAAAAAATATTTGAAAATAAGGACTATGATCTACATTTGGTTGACTTCCATGCTAAATCGACTGAGCGTAATTTAATTGTCCATAGATGCAAGCCATTGTAGTTTCGAGTCATCGTTTATACGTAATTCGTCGACTATACGTAATTCGTCGACTATACGTAATTCGTCGACTATACGTAATTCGTCGACTATACGAGTATATAAACGCTATTAGCCAACTTAGAAGTAGCAAGTCATATGGTAAAATCTTCAAGCAAGCTCCATGGTCTAGTGCAAGTGTTGACCTTCGTTTCGCGACGGCGTAATAATTGTGCATCCTCTGTAAATCACATATGTCTGGTTTCAAAGCGAAAATCGACTGAGCGTAATTTAATTGTCCATAGACGCAAGCCATTGTAGTTTCGAGTCATCGTTTATACTTAATTCGTCGACTTTACGAGTATATAAACGTTATTAGCTAGCTTAGAAGTTATTGGTTCTTAAAAGAATCTCCTGTGTTTCCTGTTGTTTCGCATTTTGGGCAACGCTAGATATATAAGCGGCCCTCATCCCATCGTCAAATTCTCATATTGTTTATGTTGTTGACATCGTTCATGTTGTCAATGAATGTTGTTTAGATTATTAAAACAGTAATTCCACTCCACGGAATAATAATCAAATAAACGAAATCGAAACTTGTTTAATTAGTTATTTAGAGACAAGTGTGGACAGAACTAGTCGAAACACCAAATTTCATTACATAATCTGATTGGATGACAGTTGTCGACTTTAAACCAATTGTATGCCATGAAAACAAATTGTTAAATTACACCTTTTCTTAGAAACGGCGAAGCAATCCAGAAACTAGCAAAGAAGCATTTTTGCGAAGAATGTCCACACAAGATTCCAGCAAGTAGAGTCTAGCCCATTCTAATGAAAAGAAGGGAAAAGAAAGAGGCAATTACAATATTTATTTCGCTGACTTTTCTTTTGCCTAATGCTAATGTTTAATTCTTTCTTTCTTTTTCTTGAGCGTTATGCCTATTGGTCAACCTGTAATGACTCGTGACATTGATCGATTCAGTTTACTGAATTCACGATATGTCTACTTCGTCAAAGCCCGCGTGTGTGAATTTTGGGCAAATGAAGGCCATGATGTAATGATGTATGAAAATGCAGGGGAGTCAGCCTGCTGGTTTGTTGGTCAACCAGTGCTTTTCTTTCACCCAGTCTTTGGAAAGTTTATTACAAACTACAACAATGAGAACCTTGAAGTATCATGGCAAAGTGCATAAGTTTATAGATATTATGGCACAACCCCACCAAAATGAAAAACAATGGTAAAAAAGTTTTGATGAATTCCTCACTGATGCACTTGACTTGAACTTTATACCAATCATAGTTGATGATGGATCAAGTAATAATGGTGTCATATTAGAAAATGATAGATATTTGGTTGCTCTACATGAAGTTAAGAATGAAATAGGAGAAGGGGGATCTGACCTCTTTTTTGCAAGCATCATTTTCATGTTTAAATTTCTGGAAACAGGAAAAGGTAATAGTAAGCCTACATATTTGAATAAGTGAGAAATATGTATGAATATTAATTTAATTTGTTGGTTCAATCATATATGTATGAATCCTTCTGAAAAGCCTGTAACTGTCCAACATTTATATTGTGTCTAGCTGGACCTTGGTTGTGTATTGCTGCAGGTATTTTTACAGACCATGGTGTTCTGGATCCATTGACAGATTTTGTTCCACTAGTACTAGTACCAATGAAGCATCCCAATGAGATAGACCATATTGTTAGACTGTTTCAAGCATGGAAACTTGCAGTCATGGATTTGAAGCACTTTTACCATACTGACAAAACTGTTGGATCTGCTTGGAGTGCAAAAAATCCTTGTGGTCACCAGAATCTTTTTCCATATCCAAACTCATTTACAATAGATGATAAGAAAGTAGAATTCACTTATGAATCTTGGATGTCAAGGTCAAAATCAATGTGCACAGCAACAATTTCAGATATGGATGATATAATTGTTAAATTTACAAAAAATTACTGTGGTGATGCACATAAGTTGTGTGCCACTGAAGGTTTAGCACCCCAGTTACTTTGTGTAGATAGAAAGATAGTATCAGGTTGCATTATGGAGAACATCAAAGAGGCAAAGCCATTGCATGAAACTACGTTTAATTTGAAAAAAGATCAAGATCAGGTGTTTCAAGATATACAGCAGGCTATCTCTCTATCTACTATCATCATAACAACCTAGTATTTGCAGATCTCCATCCAAATAACATATTGGTATATGAAAAGGATCAACTAAGATGGGCAATCTTGTAGATTTTGATTGGGCTGGGGTTGCAGGAAGAGACTGTTATCCATTGTTTATGAATCATGAGAATATTGACTGGCCAGCTGGTGCTGAAGATGGGAAAGTTTTGCAGAAAAACCATGATGAAGTATGGCTTGAACAGTTGAAAAAGAGAATATTCTTGTATTAGCACTTTTGATGTAGTAAAAATGAAAAGATTTTGACTTCCTGATGAAGGTAGACCTATTCAAACAACCAGCCAATTGGCACAATGGAAAATGAACAAATTGCCAAAAAGCTAAACAATCCCGAAAAATATACCAAAATCTGAGGAAAGAAAGATAAGAATCAAGAATTAACCCAGTTAAAAAAGAAGTTAGCCCAGGCTGATCAATGGCTGAACCAAACTCAGCAGCAATTAGAAAAAGAAAGTGAAGGCAACAAAAATATAAAAATCTCCTCTATGATTAATTCCAGCAATCTTAATAGCATCAGGGATAGCAGTTCTAATATTTTGGATGCTAGGAAGGAAAAAAACTCATTATGTGTAATAATCAATCTTATTAAAAATTAATTATTTGTTCCTTCAACCAGTAATTTTTAGATATTTTCTGTTACCTTTCTTCTAATTTTCGTTCTTCCTTGGTTTATCATGAGTTGGTAGTAATGTTTGTTTATGGTTTATTATTTTTTGCTCTTCTTATTCTTGGTAAATTTCATAGATATTCTTCAAGAATTTTGGTGTCATTCATTTTAAAAACATAAGGTGCAATTTTTTCTCCTTGAGCTTTCTTTAGAATGCTTCTAATACTGCTGTAATTCTTTGGTTCTAGTGTACTTAATGTAAATTAGTTTTATATTAATATTTTTTATATAGAGATATTCCTATATTAATCATGTTATAATTTATATTCATCACATTCTGGTATGATAAAGTGAGCATTAAAATTAAAGTTCATAAGTTATGAACAAGCACCATTATTACTTTTCAAAACGTTCATCAGTCATACTGGTCAATTTTACAGCTGCAGCATGCCCCATGTACAGTAACTCTGTTGGATCCTCAACAGCATCTTCTGTCAGTGAAATTTGATACTCAGTCCTGCTTGTACTGTAGATGGCCTCAGTGCTATGCAGGATAAAGAACCAATCTGTGGCTAAGATATTGTGAAATGGTTAGTGATGCATAAGTGAAAACCAGCAAAGCCAGTTGTCTTCTCATAAACATAATCATATTCAGAGTCAAATGCCACATCTGCCTCCCATTTTTTCTTGAGCATATCCAGGTTCATTATCATCTGCATCCAGATAAGCATCATAATCAAGTAAGCATCTAAGTATGATTGGAAAAGTGGGTGGGATAAATTTAACACTACTTATTTTACATGAACTTTGACATTGTGTTACGGTCGGATGGTCTGGGGTTTGGGAGAGCAATTAATCTGTCGCGTAGGGGTGTTCTTCCGACCGGGGGATGTTACCAGATTAGCT